CTCGCTCATCAACTCATCCTTGACCGCTGGCCATGTCCCTTCCGTCTTCAAGAGAGCAAGAGTTGCACCCCTCCTCAAAAAACCTACACTTGATCCCTCCGATGTCAACAACTACAGACCAGTATCCCTTCTTTCTTTTCTCTCCAAAACTCTTGAGCGTGCCGTCTCTAGCCAACTCTCCTGCTATCTCTCTCAGAATGACCTTCTTGATCCAAACCAGTCAGGTTTCAAGACTGGTCATTCAACTGAGACTGCTCTTCTCTGTGTCACGGAGGCTCTCCGCACTGCTAAAGCTAACTCTCTCTCCTCTGCTCTTATCCTTCTAGACTTATCCGCTGCCTTTGATACTGTGAACCATCAGATCCTCCTCTCCACCCTCTCCGAGTTGGGCATCTCCGGCGCTTCTCACTCTTGGATTGCGTCCTACTTGGCAGAATCTGTCTCCGCACTACGTGCTCTCACCACTGGTGTCCCCCAGGGCTCAGTTCTAGGCCCTCTCCTATTCTCTCTATACACCAAGTAATTTGGCTCTGTCATATCCTCACATGGTCTCTCCTATCATTGCTATGCAGACGACACACAATTAATTTTCTGATAACCAGGTGGCGAATCGCATCTCTGCATGTCTGGCAGACATATCAGTGTGGATGTCGGATCACCACCTCAAGCTGAACCTCGGCAAGACAGAGCTGCCCTTCCTCCCTGGGAAGGACTGCCTGCTCCATGATCTCGCCATCACGGTTGACAACTCCATTGTGTCCTCCTCCCAGAGTGCAAAGAGCCTTGGTGTGACCCTGGACAACACCCTGTCATTCTCTGCTAACATCAAAGCGGTGACCCGATCCTGCAGGTTCATGCTCTACAACATTCGCAGAGTACGACCCTACCTTACACAGAAAGCGGCACAGATCCTAATTCAGGCACTTGTCATCTCCCGTCTGGATTACTGCAACTCGCTGTTGGCTGGGCTCCCTGCCTGTGCCATTAAACCCCTACAACTTATCCAGAACGCCGCAGCCCGTCTGGTGTTCGACCTTCCCAAGTTCTCTCATGTCACCCCGCTCCTCCGCACACTCCACTGGCTTCCAGTTGAGGCTCGCATCTACTACAAGACCATGGTGCTTTCCTACGGAGCTGTGAGGGGAACGGCACCTCCTTACCTTCAGGCTCTGATCAGACCCTACACCCAAACGAGGGCACTACGTTCATCCACCTCTGGCCTGCTAGCTCCCCTACCTCTACAGAAGCACAGTTCCCGCTCAGCCCAGTCAAAGCTATTTGTTGCTCTGGCGCCCCAATGGTGGAACAAACTCCCCCACGACGCCAGGACAGCGGAGTCACTGACCACCTTCCGGAGACACTTGAAACCCTACCTCTTTAAGGAATACCTGGAATAGTATAAAGTAATCCTTCTACCCCCCCCCCCCATAAAAAAAAAGAAGAAAAAAAGTGGTTGTCCCAGTTGCTATCATAAGTTGAATACACCAATTTGTAAGTCGCTCTGGATAAGAGCGTCTGCTAAATTATGTAAATGTAAAATAATGTCCCTAATGTAATGAAGGCTAGTTAATGTGCGTGTGTTCTTGATTTACAAGGCCATTTCACAAGACAATTTTGGAGGGGCATTTCAAAAACATGATGCATGCACTTCAATGGAGTTCTTATTCTATTGGCTTAGTATCATGCTCTAATTGCCGCAAACACTGTAGGAATATTTACACTAATTTGCTTGATGATGTAACAATAGTACACAATGGAACACTGCAGTTTATCACTGCAGCCAAATGAGCACGAGAAAACAATGAGCGGGTAAGATTATCACTTATAAGTCAACAACAGTGCTCAACAGCTTAATATCAAATTAACTAAATTGGTTAATTATGACTCGCTAAATTAATTTACCAATATTGAGACAGTGAAGTGCTCCAGAGGTTTATTTACCCCCCCTCAAGCAGTTGCTTTGTTTATTTTTTATGCTTTGTAGGAGTCATAAATGTTTGTAGTTGATTTGTAAAAACTACAGTATTTTCTATTGTCACATTGTTTCATTCATCTGCTTATTATACGTGTGCTAAGACTTAATTGTTAAGCAGTACACCAACTATGAAACGATGCCTTTTACATTGCAGCTGTGAACATTTTACTAGACTAATTCAGCTATTCAATTTGTTTGTATATTGCAGCAAAATGCAGCCTATTTCTCCAATGAGCAGAATACAGTATGACCACACACCCTTACAAACGATGCCATCATTTATTACCGTAATCATAATCATTTGTGACTTCATTGCTGTTATCTTTCAATGTAGAATCAGTGCAAATAGATAACAAGTATATGTAGCAATGTTGATCAACAAAAGTAGCCTTTTTGTGTGGCAATTGGTATTGTTTGAAGAAAAGGCCTGGGATATTACAGTTAATCCCAGTGCCTTTAACTGCACCATGAGACTGTTTAATTGGAGTTGGGATTAGGGCAGTCTGTCTGGCTACTCACATAATTGATTAAGAGTGTTGGCAGGCACCGTGGAGGACACTCACTGGGGAATACTCTACCTGTGGTGACTGACATGGATTTCACCAGCTCCTATTTCCATGTCTGCCTGTGTTTGCAGAGCATGTTTGATCAGTTTTATCGCTCTGAATAAACATCCTATGTATACAATTACCCAGATAATATGAAATTACATGTGCATTATGTCACTTTTTCTGATAGGGACCATATCCTATGATTTTGGATATTATTAAACTTTGCATTGAGCAATGGTGCAATAGTTAGGATAATTGCTCACTTTGAAAAGGACATTTTCTAAATTAATATTGATGTATTGACCGTGTTTTTCCTGTTTTTCACAGGTTCAATGCTTGAATAGAATTTCCAGATGTATGGCAGCGAGGAAGAAGAATGGTCTTGACAAGGTAACATAAGTAATCTCTGGAAATGATCAAATAGTACATTCTAAAATAAATCTAGGCCTAACCATTGATTAGAATAAGTTGACTCATTATTAAACGAACAGACATGACTTGTAACTAGGCTATGTTTCCTTCTGGCTGTAGTAGTAGTTTGTTATTGCAGGGTGCCCTATGTTCTGTGCAATTCATTTTATATAATGGATGCTTGTTTATATGAATAAACAGTTTAACAGTGTAAAATAGTCTTAGGGAAATGTATACCACATTGTGTATATATTCTGCAATTCATAGGTTTTAGAATATCTGAAGATTTGGCCAAACATATTTTACTCACACAGTATGCTCTTCTCAATGCAAATCTTAGCTCTATCAAACTGTGTTTTCAGCATTGGAACAACAAAGAAAAGTAGACATTATGCAGAGCAAATCTGTAGAGGAGTATACATTTAACTATGTATCTGTAATAGTGCAGGTGTCTAATCCTGGCTTGTTCCTCTGTACAAGCAATGTAGTTCAAGCCCATAGCTGCTTCTTCCTTCACTTAAAGCAGTAATGCTCTTTTAGATGAAATGTCTAAGACATCTCATAATAACTTGGAGCATGCTGTCTAGAGCAGTCACTTGTGACTGTGTGCAAAACCCCCCTCAGCTTGGCGATATTGTAATGAGCAAAATGGTACCGTCACTCCATTATGCATACAAGCCATTACTAGCAGTGTGCATGTCCCTCAGGCTGCAGTATTCATTAAGGGAAGCTTACCGGGCTGAAAGCTGGAGACATGTGATAACGGGATATGATTTTCATATTTAATGCATTCCTTGGAAGAGCACGCGCGTTCCGCAGATTGATAGAAGAATCAATTGCTACTTTAGTGAAACACTTTCTACTTTGCCCTGCAGCTTCCGATGGAATCACTCAGCCAAGAAATTAACTTTTCTTATTTTTTACCTGCTTTGTGGATCTGCTGGGCAGAGCTGCATGGTTTACAGTGAATGTTATTAAGCAGCTAACTGTTTGGTATTTAAGACTCTTATCAGAAAAGAAACAGAAGCCATGCTTTTTGTTATTATGTTTGGAGGAAGGTTTTTTAGCTTTCTCTTCCCCCCTTGGTGCCATAGCAGACATGAATCACAACTTACGCAGAGGATTGCTTATAAGATTAAAGTTAAAACATGGATTGTGTAACATTCTTCTGAAAGACGGTTTGAAAAGAAATATGACCTTGACCCAAATAAACAGTATTTTAACAGAAAAAGTTATACTTTTAAAACACTCAGAGTTGTTTTTGTTTTTTAGGAAAAAGCCCTTATAACCTGATTTGCAAGTGTTGCATTTAAGGAGAATAAACAGAATTATACAAGCAGAAAATTGTAAGAGCAATATTATACCAACACAAACTGTTTCTGCTGCTTGTGAATGAAGGGTATCCTTGACCATTTGATGCGATTTTGCCAATCTTGTCTAATTGTTAATGGTACTTGATGTGGTATTCTGATTATATCCCAATTTAATTATAATACCATAGCAATTGGAATTGGGAAATTGGAAGGGGGACTGTGACTAGAAACATTTTGCTCTTTTATTTGAGCATAAGGATATCAAGTAGCAGTCAATTGTTACTTTAATTAGAGTTACACAATACACTTGCATCCCTACATATTATCTCCAAATATGCCTTGCTATTCATAAGCATTTTGTTATTTGACATTGAGTAACCATGAATCTACCTGTATGCACCTGGTTATTTCCTGTTTTTCAGAGATATGTATTACATGGCCATCCTCAGGGTGATTCCCCCTCTCCACATGCCAAGGGTTTATACCAACCATCTGTAATATTCATGGGTCGGCAGACTTCCAGAGAGTCCACAGTTGAAGATGCCACCATAAGTGTACACTTACAACAAGCCGAGCATCATTCGCCCCAATCATCGCTCACGTGCCTCAGAACACCGGCAAAGTGGCCTTTTGAAGGACTCCAAAGTTTCCAGAGAGGTTGTTGCCGACAGCGGAGCGCGTTTATCAGATGACATTTCAGGCTCAAACGATTCCCCCGACGGCTGTAATTTGAGTGACAAACATGAAAGGATGGCGGCAGTGGTTCCATCCAGCTTAACAGCCAGTGCCGGCGTGCCTTTTGGAGGTGATGAACAACCGCCTACACCTCGAGTGACCTTGACGAGGTCTGAGAAGAATAGCCCATCGCCCAGCAGTATCAGCCATATGTTTGACAGGAATTCACCTGCAGAATACACTCGGGGTAGAGGGTCTGCCCATCAAGATAGCATAAAAAAAGATGTGGAGAGAGTCCTGCAAAGATCACCGCCTCAAACTGACTTGGGGAAATAATCTCAAGATGTGCCAGGTTAGTGATCTTATTCCTGAAAGAAATTACATACTAGAAGATATCCAGACTGTATGTTCTCCATTGTTTCACTGTACTGGCTAGTACTTTATTTCTTAGCAGTTTGATTGAAATGTGTGTTATTTTTAAGGAATTTCTAAAATAATTTATATTATATGATACTAATAATACTCTATATACACAGTGATTCAAATAGCCTGTTGTGTATGTGTTTTCAGAGAGGAGTGAACCCCTCAGTATATCCAGTCCCAGTGTGGAGCTCTCCGTGACCAGCAGTGGAAGTGACCTGTCCATCTCGCTGACTGAGTCTGACCTGGCTGAGGTACCAAAGGTGCCAGGGAATGTGGTCTATGTAGACGGCCATAGCAGGAGGACACATCCCACCAGGCCCACCAGAGGAGTGCTACACCCAGGGAGAGTGATCTCCACAGCATCAGCATACACAGTCAAGAAACACTTGACACTCCAGAGCCTAGGAACAGACCTGAACCAAGTAGATAATCCACGTCTTCAGAAATACCATCGGAGAGGTATGTATGAGCTATGTACATTACATTTCGGTTTTGTGAAGTGTTACATTATACTGGAAATAACGTCAGCTGTCAATTAATTTGAATAAATTCAATTGAGGCAACCCCTTATCTCAGCCATCATAACAAACACTGTTCTTTTAATTTTTGATAGCTATCTGTTTAATTCGGGCAGTTTATTGTTGAGTGAATTAGGGGCATGCTAAAGCAAAGCTACAGCTCTACTTTAGGATGTTCCAGAGTGTCTAAACTGAACTGGGCTGCAGGATAAGTAGGTTGCACTGGGGATTATGCTCAAGACAGTTGACTTGTGCCACATCTGCAGCTGACAGAGAGGATGATGGGAGTCACACTCCACGCGACCCACTGCACTCAGTGCAGCTCAACAGCAGGGGCCTTAGCCTCAGCGCAACTTGTAGGGAGGGTTAAGGACCTGTGACAAACATTATTGCCATAATCCAAGATAATGCTGTAACCAAGCAATTTTCTGCTTGAGAGACCTCAGGAAGTCCGAGTGGAGGAGGATATTTGTGGCTCCATAGAGTGTTCTGGAGGGTGGGCATGTGGACAGGCACTCACACTAAGAAATCTAGCACTTGGTGTCCTCTGATTTCAAGGATTGCTTGTGATGGATTGCACTGTGAAGGTAGTGTGCATTTCCGTCCATCAATCCAGACCTTTACTGTCCTCTGAAAAAGTCTGATTGTAGGCTGTAGACCTAGCTGTAATAAACAGCTTTCCTCTATATGTGTTATGCTAGTTCTCAGTATACTGTATGTGTTGGTAGACTAGTAACTGTTGGGGGGTGAAACTCAAAAGTATATGTACAGGCCTTCTTCTACAATTGATTAAATTAATGTGTTTCCTCATCAATCTACACACAATACCCCATAATGACAAAGCGAAAACACGTTTTTAGAATTTTTTTCAAATTTCTTAAAAAAAAAAAACAGAAATACCTTATTTACATAAGTATTCAGACCCTTTGCTATGAGACTCAAATTGAGCTCAGGTGAATCCTGTTTTCATTGATCATCCTTGAGATGTTTCTACAACTTGATTGGAGTCCACCTGTGGTAAATTCAATTGATTGGACATGATTTGGAAAGGTACACACCTGTCTACATAAGATGCCACAGTTGACAGTGCATGTCAGAGCAAAAACCAAGCCATGAGGCAGAAGGAATTGTCCGTAGAGCTCCAAGACAAATCAAATCAAATCAAATCAAATTTTATTGGTCACATGCGCCGAATACAACAGGTGCAGACATTGCAGTGAAATGCTTACTTACAGCCCTTAACCAACAGTGCATTTATTTTAAACAAAAAAAGTAAGAATAAAACAACAACAACAAAAAAGTGTTGAGAAAAAAAGAGCAGAAGTAAAATAAAGTGACAGTAGGGAGGCTATATATACAGTAAAATAAAGTGACAGTAGGGAGGCTATATATACAGGGGGGTACCGTTGCAGAGTCAATGTGCGAGGGCACCGGCTAGTTGAGGTAGTTGAGGTAATATGTACATGTGGGTAGAGTTAAAGTGACTATGCATAAATACTTAACAGAGTAGCAGCAGCGTAAAAAGGATGGGGTGGGGGGGCAGTGCAAATAGTCTGGGTAGCCATGATTAGCTGTTCAGGAGTCTTATGGCTTGGGGGTAGAAGCTGTTGAGAAGTCTTTTGGACCTAGACTTGGCACTCCGGTACCGCTTGCCGTGCGGTAGCAGAGAGAACAGTCTATGACTAGGGTGGCTGGAGTCTTTGACAATTTTGAGGGCCTTCCTCTGACACCGCCTGGTATAGAGGTCCTGGATGGCAGGGAGCTTTGCCCCAGTGATGTACTGGGCCGTACGCACTACCCTCTGTAGTGCCTTGCGGTCAGAGGCCAAGCAGTTGCCATACCAGGCGGTGATGCAACCAGTCAGGATGCTCTCGATGGTGCAGCTGTAGAATTTTTTGAGGATCTGAGGACCCATGCCAAATCTTTTTAGTCTCCTGAGGGGGAATAGGCTTTGTCGTGCCCTCTTCACGACTGTCTTGGTGTGTTTGGACCATGATAGTTCGTTGGTGATGTGGACACCAAGGAACTTGAAGCTCTCAACCTGTTCCACTACAGCCCCGTCGATGAGAATGGGGGCGTGCTCAGTCCTCTTTTTTTTCCTGTAGTCCACAATCATCTCCTTTGTCTTGGTCACGTTGAGGGAGAGGTTGTTGTCCTGGCACCACACGGCCAGATCTCTGACCTCCTCCCTATAGGCTGTCTCATCGTTGTCGGTGATCAGGCCTACCACTGTTGTGTCGTCGGCAAACTTAATGATGGTGTTGGAGTCGTGCCTGGCCATGCAGTCATGGGTGAACAGAGAGTACAGGAGGGGACTGAGCACACACCCCTGAGGGGCCCCCGTGTTGAGGATCAGTGTGGCAGATGTGTTGTTACCTACCCTTACCACCTGGGGGCGGCCCGTCAGGAAGTCCAGGATCCAGTTGCAGAGGGAGGTGTTTAGTCCCAGGATCCTTAGCTTAGTGATGAGCTTAGAGGGCACTATGGTGTTGAATGCTGAGCTGTAGTCAATGAATAGCATTCTCACGTAGGTGTTCCTCTTGTCCAGGTGGGAAAGGGCAGTGTGGAGTGCGATAGAGATTGCATCATCTGTGGATCTGTTGGGGCGGTATGCAAATTGGAGTGGGTCTAGGGTTTCTGGGATTATGCTGTTGATGTGAGCCATGACCAGTCTTTCAAAGCACTTCATGGCTACAGACGTCAGTGCTACGGGTCGGTAGTCATTTAGGCAGGTTATCTTAGAGTTCTTGGGCACGGGGACTATGGTGGTCTGCTTGAAACATGTTGGTATTACAGACTCAGTCAGGGACATGTTGAAAATGTCAGTGAAGACACTTGCCAGTTGGTCAGCACATGCTCGGAGTACACGTCCTGGTAATCCGTCTGGCCCTGCGGCCTTGTGAATGTTGACCTGCTTAAAAGTCTTACTCACATCGGCTACGGAGAGCGTGATCACATAGTCGTCCGGAACAGCTGGTGCTCTCATGCATGCTTCAGTGTTGCTTGCCTCGAAGCGAGCATAGAAGTGGTTTAGCTCGTCTGGTAGGCTTGTGTCACTGGGCAGCTCGCGGCTGTGCTTCCCTTTGTAGTCTGTAATAGTTTTCAAGCCCTGCCACATCCGACGAGCGTCAGAGCCAGTGTAGTATGATTCAATCTTAGACCTGTATTGACTCTTTGCCTGTTTGATGGTTCGTCGGAGGTCATAGCGGGATTTCTTATAAGCGTCCGGGTTAGAGTCCCGTTCCTTGAAAGCGGCAGCTCTACCCTTTAGCTCAGTGCGGATGTTTCCTGTAATCCATGGCTTCTGGTTGGGGTATGTACGTACGGTCACTGTGGGGACGACATCATCGATGCACTTATTGATGAAGCCAGTGACTGATGTGGTGTACTCCTCAATGCTGTCTGAAGAATCCCGGAACATGTTCCAGTCTGTGCTAGCAAAACAGTCCTGTAGCTTAGCATCTGCGTCATCTGACCACTTTTTTATTAACCAAATCACTGGTGCTTCCTGCTTCAGTTTTTGCTTATAAGCAGGAATCAGGAGGATAGAGTTATGGTCAGATTTGCCAAATGGAGGGCGAGGGAGAGCTTTGTATGCGTCTCTGTGTGTGGAGTAAAGGTGGTCTAGAGTTTTTTTCCCTCTGGTTACACATTTAACAGGATTGTGTCGCGACGCAGATCTGAGGAAGGGTACCAAAAAAGTCTGCAGCATTGAAGGTCCCCAAGAACACTCCTTCATTCTTAAATGGAAGAAGATTGGAACCACCAAGACTCTTCCTAGAGCTGGCCGCCTGGCCAAACTGAGCAATCGGGGGAGAAGGGCCTTGGTCAGGGAGGTGACCAAGAACACGATGGTCACTCTGAGAGAGCTCCAGCGTTTTTCTCTGGAGATGGGAGAACCTTCCAGAAGGACAATCATCTCTGCAGCACTCCACCAATCAGGCCTTTATGGTAGAGTGGCCAGACGGAAGCCACTCCTCAGTAAAAGGCAAACGACAGCCCGCTTGGAGTTTGCCAAAAGGCACCTAAAGGACACTCAGACCATGAGAAACAAGATTCTCTGGTCTGATGAACTCTTTGGCCTGAATGCCAAGCGTCACGTCTGGAGGAAACCTGGCACCATCCCTACGATGAAGCATGGTGGTGGCAGCATCATGCTGTGGGGATGTTTTTCAGCGGCAGGGACTAGGAGACTAGTCTGGATTGAGGGAAAGATGAATAGAGCAAAGTACAGAGAGATCCTTGATGAAAACCTGCTCCAGAGCGCTCAGGACCTCAGACTGGGGCGAAGGTTCACCTTCCAATAGGACAACGACCCTAAGCACACTGCCAAGACTATGCATACTCTATTGCGCTCCACACTGCGCTTTCCCACCTGGACAAAAGGAACACCTACGTGAGAATGCTATTCATTGACTACAGCTCAGCATTCAACACCATAGTGCCCTCAAAGCTCATCACTAAGCTCAGGACCCTGGGACTAAACACCTCCCTCTGCAACTGGATCCTGGACTTCCTGACGGGCCGCCCCCAGGTGGTAAGGGTAGGTAACAACACATCTGCCACGCTGATCCTCAACACAGGGGCTCCTCAGGGGTGCATGCTCAGTCCCCTCCTGTACTCGCTGTTCACCCATGACTGCATGGCCAGGCACGACTCCAACACCATCATTAAGTTTGCAGACGACACAGCAGTGGTAGGTCTGATCACCGACAACGATGAGACAGCCTACAGTGAGGGAAAAAAGTATTTGATCCCCTGCTGATTTTGTACATTTGCCCATTGACAAAGAAATTATCAGTCTATAATTTAAATGGTAGGTTTATTTGAACAGTGAGAGACAGAATAACAACAAAAAGATCCAGAAAAACGCATGTCAAAAATGTTATAAATTGATTTGCATTTTAATGAGGGAAATAAGTATTTGACCCCCTCTCAATCAGAAAGATTTCTGGCTCCCAGGTGTCTTTTATACAGGTAACGAGCTGAGATTAGGAGTACACTCTTAAAGGGAGTGCTCCTAATCTCAGCTTGTTACCTGTATAAAAGACACCTGTCCACAGAAGCAATCAATCAATCAGATTCCAAACTCTCCACCATGGCCAAGACCAAAGAGCTCTCCAAGGATGTCAGCGACAAGATTGTAGACCTACACAAGGCTGGAATGGGCTACAAGACCATCACCAAGCAGCTTGGTGAGAAGGTGACAACAGTTGGTGCAGATTATTCGCAAATGGAAGAAACACAAAATAACTGTCAATCTCCCTCGGCCTGGGGCTCCATGCAAGATCTCACCTCGTGGAGTTGCAATGATCATGAGAACGGTGAGGAATCAGCCCAGAACGACACGGGAGGATCTTGTCAATAATCTCAAGGCACCTGGGACCATAGTCACCAAGAAAACAATTGGTAACACACTACGCCGTGAAGGACTGGAATCCTGCAGCGCCCGCAAGCTCCCCCTGCTCAAGAAAGCACATATACAGGCCCGTCTGAAGTTTGCCAATGAACATCTGAATGATTCAGAGGAGAACTGGGTGAAAGTGTTGTGGTCAGATGAGACCAAAATGGAGCTCTTTGGCATCAACTCAACTTGCCGTGTTTGGAGGAGGAGGAATGCTGCCTATGACCCCAAGAACACCATCCCCACCGTCAAACATGGAGGTGGAAACATTATGCTTTGGGGGTGTTTTTCTGCTAAGGGGACAGGACAACTTCACCGCATCAAAGGGATGATGGACGGGGCCATGTACCATCAAATCTTGGGTGAGAACCTCCTTCCCTCAGCCAGGGCATTGAAAATGGGTCATGGATGGGTATTCCAGCATGACAATGACCCAAAACACACGGCCAAGGCAACAAAGGAGTGGCTCAAGAAGAAGCACATTAAGGTCCTGTAGTGGCCTAGCCAGTCTCCAGACCTTAATCCCATAGAAAATCTGTGGAGGGAGCTGAAGGTTCGAGTTGCCAAATGTCAGCCTCGAAACCTTAATGACTTGGAGAAGATCTGCAAAGAGGAGTGGGACAAAATCCCTCCTGAGATGTGTGAAAACCTGGTGGCCAACTACAAGAAACGTCTGACCTCTGTGATTGCCAACAAGGGTTTTGCCACCAAGTACTAAGTCATGTTTTGCAGAGGGGTCAAATACTTATTTCCCTCATTAAAATGCAAATCAATTTATAACATTTTTGACATGCGTTTTTCTGGATTTTGTTGTTGTTATTCTGTCCCTCACAGTTCAAATAACCCTACCATTAAAATTATAGACTTATCATGTCTTTGTCAGTGGGCAAACGTACAAAATCAGCAGGGGATCAAATACTTTTTTCCCTCACTGTATAGGGAGGAGGTCAGAGACCTGGCCGTGTGGTGCCAGGATAACAAGCTCTCCCTCAACGTGATCAAGACAAAGGAGATGATTGTGGACTAATATTGCTCCCAAGAGGCTGACCCTTTCCTCCCTACTAACAATATACTCCTGATGATGTCGAGACTCCGAGACACACACAGCTTCACCAAAACGTGTGGTTTGAGACCTCGCGATGAAGCACTTACAACAATACGGCGAGGTTTGGTGCACACAACACATTCACTTTTCTTTTGTAAAAAGGTCCCTTTTTGAAGAGCACTGACAAATAACGTGGAGAGAAAGATGATAACTATGAGAGGGGGGGGCAGAGGTTTTGCCCAAGCTACTTCAGTTGCATTGAAGAGGACTTAGTGCAGATGGATGGTGCACTACAGAATGCCATGGATATAATTCAAGCTGCCAGCTTAATCAGGATGTTACCAGGAAACAACCTGCAAAAAGGAAGGAGCAATTGTTTGCTGACCCCTAACCCCTAACCCCAGAGCCCATTATAGATTGTCATAAATTATTTTTGCCCCTTTTATGTTGGGTGGCTCAGGATTTCAGCTGGGGTTTCTGGGGAATTCAATGAGGGCCACCCAGAGCTGAATACTGAGGAAAGAAATGTTCCCAAAATCCACATGCATTAGGCATCCGTTTCTCATAGCCTCACATGGACAGATTAAAGTGTACATCTCCCACCAAAAGAAATAATCTTTGGGTTTTTTCTTGTTGGGACTCGGAGGTTGGGCTATGTTAGCTGTCCAAATTTGGTTGAAACTGGTATTTTGTATAATAGGTTTATGAGTCCATGTGTTTTTTCCAGGCCCTAAAGTAGATTTTGAGCCAGGCACCTTTTGTTATATTGAAATGGCATGACTTTTATGTAAGTTATGAACCAGTTTTGCTCTGTTTATAACCCCTCTGTTTACTAGTTGACTTTTAATGTTTCCAGTGCTGAGGCACTTTATTTTCCTGCCTGGTACTCTACATAAATTTACATTGAATTGAATGTTTGTGCCCATCTCTGACATTGGTTTACATGTCAATTAATGCAAAAGCTACCATAGTACCTTGATCTCTTACACACACACATCAGTACATTCCTGTTACACCTACACCTCAAGTACAAGCAGACCTTGAATACCAAGGTGAAATCATATTCACTGGAAAAATCTGTGAACGCAAATATGGAGCAAATCCATCAGGCATTTTGTCTCTGTGTGTTAATTTGACATGTATGTTCTTTCAGGCTATCCATGGAGGGATTCTTCCATCTACTGGAGAGCATCGAATAACTATTCCACAGAGGAGAAAGAAATGTGTACTGGGTCTCATTAGTTGGTGATAGCAAACACAACAAAGTGGTCAGTTAAGCTGTTTCCGTCATTAGAAATTATATTGGTCTTAAATTTGGCTGCAATTCCTTTCATTATCAACTAGTGTTTGTGGATCTGGAGGAAAATGTATTATCATGCCGCCAAGGGCTCTCACTTTAAATTAAGTGTCATCACTTGGCACAAACAACGCTCTTGCAACACATCTTGGTTTCTAAGGGTTTTTGAAAGAAATTGTATTGTCATAGTAACCACCACTTTGCAGCTGAATCATGGTTCTTCTGGCTTTTGGGAGTCAGGTAAATTCACTGGCTGTCACGCCCTGGCTCTGGGGACGCTGGTATATTGAGCCAGGGTGTGAGTGTTCTTTATGTTTTGTGCTCGTTGTGTCCGTTCTAGTTGTTGTATTTCTATGTTGGCCAGAGTGGTTCTCAATCAGAGGCAACGAGTGTCAGCTGTTGCTGGTTGTCTCTGATTGGGAACCATATTTAGACAGGCTGTTTTCCCACAGTGGTTGTGGGATCTTGTTCCAGTGTGGTTTGTGTTAGACCGTGGACGTCACGTTATCGTTTGTTGTTTTGTTCGTGTAATTCACTAATAAAAAAGTATGTTCGCATTCAACGCTGCGCCTTGGTCCTCTGTTCCCGACGATCGTGACACTGGCTATGTGGCATTTGAAACAAAAGTTACCACTTGTCTAATGATATTCTATTTGTGTACACGATAAAAAAAAAATTTTTAATCAATAATTGTTTGCCATCGAAAGCAGGGAAGGAAACAACATGCCCAACATCTTGCCCAATTATGTCCTTTTTGCCAGAATGATCAGAACTACTGTCACCTAGTTGTCAGCTAGTGAGTTGTGAGTGTTAGTCCTGCCGTGGCCTTTGCCATGTGTTTGCTGTGTGTGGTGTGACTCGTCCCTAACGTGGGGTGTACAGAGAACAGCTGCTGTGCTCTATACCCCTGACCTGTGGGCTGCTGGACTGAGCCCCGGGTTCCATGGCGATGGCTCACTCCCCTCTATATATTCTGCAGCCTTTGTAACGCCAGGGAAGGCTTGAATGGAGAGGACCTTGATGCATTTGGAGCAGTCGTCCTTCATCAGCTTCAGAGGTTGTCATAGACCATGATAAAAGGGATGCCTGTTACCCAAAGAGATAGTTAGCTTTAACTGGTCGACCACCGAGCCCAGGAAAATAAGGTAAGGCTTCTGTGAACTGTGCACCAGATAATTCTTTTTGATGTCACTGTTTTTGAAAATTATATTTATCATTTGATGCATTCTGGTAGGTGAGGCAGTTAAAATGATCTTCAGGTTCATGCTGGTCAGCACAGTAATGTTATGACCCTTTGAAATGAAGCCTTCATGTACAGGATGTTTCTTTCTTTGTGTCCTTGTTATTTTTTCTAGAGAAAATTATGATTGCTTTTGATATTATTTTTTGATCATTATTCAAGATGGCAAATATGTGCATTAAGACCATTGGTAGAAAAAAGCTTCAATTGGTCTTGCTGTTTCAGGGTCCCTCTGTATTATATTTGCTCAATCTTGCACCAAGCCTGAGTGAATCAAAATGGGGACATTTTGAACTCTCTGTTCCTGTAATAAATGTGAGCTATAATAGAGTCATTCAGACCAGAGATATCAGTGCTCTACAAGTGACCTAGTTCAATAGACCAATCTTACCGTCAAAATGAAAAGTGAACCGATTCAAAGATGAATCCACTTCAGACAAAGAGCAGATTAGTTCCTGTGTGTTTTTCTTGACAGTTTGACTAGAGTTCAGATGAGGGGGGGAGAACACATTTAGAACAGGTTGAGATTGGATCGAATGGCCGTGAACTGGTCTCCATTCTCCACAAATGTGAAGGTCATTTGTGTAACCTCCAGCAGTAGCCTAACTCTATGTGTGTGAATGTCATGAGCAAATTAAATGCCCTATCTGTGACTGGTTTCTTTTGAAAATGAGGAGCTACACATTGAACCATAGCTCCAAGCTCTGCTATGCCTGAATACTTCATTGATTTCAGAAAGACCTTTTCTGCTCACGTGTATTCAGGCAAAAATAAAGAATCCTGAGATGTTTTAAACCCTACTGTGGTTGCTTGACTTTTTCTCAGTATGTAGCCAACTTATGTGTCGTTAGGTTAACTTCCATTCACAATTATAAATTAAGTTCCCATTCTTTTCAATATATCAAGATGTCAAACTATTCCACTTTTCCTTTGTGTGTACCATGTGTTTTTCTTTGCATCTACAAGGATTTTCACCATACATGCATGAATGAGCCGAAAACATGAAGAACATGATGGTTTATATTTGTGAAGTGTTTACAGTATATGGATACATTCTCTCACTGTAAGGAAATATGTTTATGTTGTATCTTACTATGGTACATATTCATTCAGACAACAAGCCTGTGTTCCTCCCTCACGATGCTGTGTGTCTCCACCCCTGTCCTCCACTCTGCAGCTCCTGTCTCCCCCCTGATGCTGCTCCTCTGTGGGATCGCTGGTTCAAGCACGCCCTTCTGCTGAAGGACCACCATGTCCTCACCACCAAGCGCCTCGTCCAGCTGTTCACTCCACTGCTGCTATAGCACCAAGGTATGCATCTCACAATACACTAGAGTACAGTTTATTTTACATACAGAACAGATTCCAGGGGTTTGAATCCCAGGTTTTCTCCACTTCTGGCTTGTTACTGAAGCAGTCATCATGCACTGCAAGCACACAGGGCTCTAAAGTGCGACCAATTTGGTCGCATATACTCCAAAAATGTTGTTTTGCCACCTGGAATTTCTATTTGGGAGCACCAGTTTATTACTTTATTACTTTCCAACCCCACCACCCCTTCCCTAATTGGAGTAAACTAGTGAACAACAATGCTTAGGCCTCTACTTCCAGCTTATACATACTATATACATTTTATGGACACAGTCAATTTTACAATAATTCTATTTTGTTTGTTTTTACTCCTGAACTTCCTCTACCCTCAACCTCTCCGATCATTTTCATGATGTTCATCCGGTTTTTATTCTATATGCCATATCTTTCTAACTGTAATAATAATTGTTTTAGTGATAACGCTTCGCTCTACCATACTTTCCGAGTGCCCTAAAGACAAAAGCGAGCGCATATTCGTTAACATCATGGTTGTATGGAAGACTATTAGGGCCAAGTGATTTAAAAAAATTGATAGGTGGTGGTACCAGTTTTTAGTTTTTTGCATGGATAGTACTTAGAGAACTTGAAATACAAGGATAAAGTCGAAACTTCTAGAATAAAGTTGAAATAAATTTTTGAGAATAAAGTCTAAATTAAATTGCCAATATTTAGACAAAGTGGCAATATTTCGACAATAAAGTTGAAATTAAACTTAAAGAATAAAATCTAAATAGTTTGAGTAAACTCAAAATTATATTTTGAGAATAGACTTTACATTTTATTTAGAGAATGAAGTAAAAATGTTGAGAATAAAGTAAACATTTTGAGAATTAAGTCGCAGTTATATTTCAAGATTAAGGTAGGGGATTTGGTTAATTGCATGCCTCCATGTTGTTGTGCACTGTATAAATGACCTGGGAAAACCTAAGGCTTTAGTAACAAGGGTTCCACTCACAAAACATAACGGCTAAAGCATCTATGCAGCCATTTATTGCAATATCATGTGCTTCCAGTTTGTCATTGTGTCCATATGCCATATCGCCTTGGGACCCTTGGTCGTACACTGCCGTCGGCGTCGTGCGTGACTAAGCTTCACAAAAAAAGTATTTAGTCAGCCACCAGTGGAGCGGACTGCTCTGGCTCCGGAGTGGAACCGCTGACCGGAGCTGGACTTGAAACCGGTGGAGCGGACTGCTCTGTCTCCGGAATGGATCCGCTGACCGGAGCTGGACTAGGCACCAGTGGAGCGGACATTTCTAGTGACATTTATTTGGTTACATCCATAACAATGAGCTAATGAGGCGCAATTTCGACTGGCATAGAAAAATCTGCTCACTTGTCAGAGGAGCTAGCCAACAACACAGCTAACACAATCACTTCAAACTGAAGCTGGAAAGAATGCAAACTAGCTGCACGTTTTATCTTTATTCAATTGACATTTCTATTACTTTTCTTCTTCTTCTTTTTTTTTTTTGGGGGGGGGGGGGGGGGGTTGATCAGCTTTAATATTGCAGATAGATTGTAACTTCCATCAATGTAATTGTCTGCATCACTTCCAATCCCCCATATGTTTTTTTTCTCTCGCAAATATATATATATATACAGTGGGGGAAAAAAGTATTTAGTCAGCCACCAATTGTGCAAGGTCTCACACATAAAAAGATGAGAGAGACCTGTAATTTTCATCATAGGTACACGTCAACTGTGACAGACAAAATGAGAAAAAAAAATCCAGAAAATCACATTGTAGGATTTTTAATGAATTTATTTGCAAATTATGGTGGAAAATAAGTATTTGGTCAATAACAAAACTTTCTCAATACTTTGTTGTATACCCTTTGTTGGCAATGACACAGGTCAAACGTTTTCTGTAAGTCTTCACAAGGTTTTCACACACTGTTGCTGGTATTTTGGCCCATTCCTCCATACAGATCTCCTCTAGAGCAGTGATGTTTTGGGGCTGTCGCTGGGCAACACAGACTTTCAACTCCCTCCAAAGATTTTCTACGGGGTTGAGATCTGGAGACTGGCAAGGCCACTCCAGGACCTTGAAATGCTTCTTACGAAGCCACTCCTTCGTTGCCCGGGCGGTGTGTTTGGGATCATTGTCATGCTGAAAGACCCAGCCACGTTTCATCTTCAATGCCCTTGCTGATGGAAGGAGGTTTTCACTCAAAATCTCACGATACATGGCCCCATTCATTCTTTCCTTTACACGGATCAGTCGTCCTGGTCCCTTTGCAGAAAAACAGCCCCAAAGCATGATGTTTCCACCCCCATGCTTCACAGTAGGTATGGTGTTCTTTGGATGCAACTCAGCATTCTTTGTCCTCCAAACACGACGAGTTGAGTTTTTACCAAAAAGTTATATTTTGGTTTCATCTGACATTCTCCCAATCGTCTTCTGGATCATCCAAATGCACTCTAGCAAACTTCAGACGGGCCTGGACATGTACTGGCTTAAGCAGGGGGACACGTCTGGCACTGCAGGATTTGAGTCCCTGGCGGCGTAGTGTGTTACTGATGGTAGGCTTTGTTACTTTGGTCCCAGCTCTCTGCAGGTCATTCACTAGGTCCCCCCGTGTGGTTCTGGGATTTTTGCTCACCGTTCTTGTGATCATTTTGACCCCACGGGGTGAGATCTTGCGTGGAGCCCAAGATCGAGGGAGATTATCAGTGGTCTTGTATGTCTTCCATTTCCTAATAATTGCTCCCACAGTTGATTTCTTCAAACCAAGCTGCTTACCTATTGCAGATTCAGTCTTCCCAGCCTGGTGCAGGTCTACAATTTTGTTTCTGGTGTCCTTTGACAGCTCTTTGGTCTTGGCCATAGTGGAGTTTGGAGTGTGACTGTTTGAGATTGTGGACAGGTGTCTTTTATACTGATAACAAGTTCAAACAGGTGCCATTAATACAGGTAACGAGTGGAGGACAGAGGAGCCTCTTAAAGAAGAAGTTACAGGTCTGTGAGAGCCAGAAATCTTGCTTGTTTGTAGGTGACCAAATACTTATTTTCCACCATAATTTGCAAATACATTCATAAAAAATCCTACAATGTGATTTTCTGGATTTTTTTTCCTCAATTTGTCTGTCATAGTTGACGTGTACCTATGATGAAAATTACAGGCCTCTCTCATCTTTTTAAGTGGGAGAACTTGCACAATTGGTGGCTGACTAAATACTTTTTTCCCCCACTGTATATATATATATATATATATATATATACACATACACACATACATACACATACACAATCATACATACATACATACATACATACATTAATACACATACATATACAGTGGGGAAAAAAAGTATTTAGTCAGCCACCAATTGTGCAAGTTCTCCCACTTAAAAAGATGAGAGAGGCCTGTAATTTTCATCATAGGTACACGTCAACTATGACAGACAAAGTGAGAAAAATTCCAGAAAATCACATTGTAGGATTTTTTATGAATTTATTTGCAAATTATGGTGGAAAATAAGTATTTGGTCACCTACAAACAAGCAAGATTTCTGGCTCTCACAGTCCTGTAACTTCTTCTTTAAGAGGCTCCTCTGTCCTCCACTCGTTACCCGTATTAATGGCACCTGTTTGAACTTGTTATCAGTATAAAAGACACCTGTCCACAACCTCAAACAGTCACACTCCAAACTCCACTATGGCCAAGACCAAGGAGCTGTCAAAGGACACCAGAAACAAAATTGTAGACCTGCACCAGGCTGGGAAGACTGAATCTGCAATAGGTAAGCAGCTTGGTTTGAAGAAATCAACTGTGGGAGCAATTATTAGGAAATGGAAGACATACAAGACCACTGATAATCTCCCTCGATCTGGGGCTCCACGCAAGATCTCACCCCGTGGGGTCAAAATGAGCAAAAATCCCAGAACCACACGGGGGGACCTAGTGAATGACCTGCAGAGAGCTGGGACCAAAGTAACAAAGCCTACCATCAGTAACACACTACGCCGCCAGGGACTCAAATCCTGCAGTGCCAGACGTGTCCCCCTGCGTAAGGCAGTACATGTCCAGCCCCGTCTGAAGTTTGCTAGAGTGCATTTGGATGATCCAGAAGAGGATTGGAAGAATGTCATATGGTCAGATGAAACCAAAATAGAACTTTTTGGTAAAAACTCAACTCGTCGTGTTTGGAGGACAAAGAATGCTGAGTTGCATCCAAAGAATACCAAACCTACTGTGAAGCATGGGGGTGGAAACATCATGCTTTGGGGCATTTTTTCTGCAAAGGGACCAGGACAACTGATCCGTGTAAAGGAAAGAATGAATGGGGCCATGTATCGTGAGATTTTGAGTGAAAACCTCCTTCCATCAGCAAGGGCATTGAAGATGAAACGTGGCTGGGTCTTTCAGCATGACAATGATCCCAAACACACCGCCCGGGCAACAAAGGAGTGGCTTCGTAAGAAGCATTTCAAGGTCCTGGAGTGGCCTAGCCAGTCTCCAGATCTCAACCCCATAGAAAATCTTTGGAGGGAATTGAAAGTCTGTGTTGCCCAGCGACAGCCCCAAAACATCACTGCTCTAGAGGAGATCTGCATGGAGGAATGGGCCAAAATACCAGCAACAGTGTGTGAAAACCTTGTGAAGACTTACAGAAAACGTTTGACCTGTGTCATTGCCAACAAAGGGTATATAACAAAGTATTGAGAAACTTTTGTTATTGACCAAATACTTATTTTCCACCATAATATGCAAATAAATTCATTAAAATCCTACAATGTGATTTTCTGGAATTTATTTTCTCATTTTGTCTGTCATAGTTGACGTGTACCTATGATGAAAATTACAGGCCTCTCTCATCTTTTTAAGTGGGAGAACTTGCACAATTGGTGGCTGACTAAATACTTTTTTCCCCCACTGTAGATCTGTTGTATAGTGTCTTGTGTTACTACAAAACCTCTCTGAATTAC